CAAATTTTTATAGAAAATTTTGCAATATTGCAACAAATTTTTATAGAAAATTTTGCAATATTGCAACAAATTTTTATAGAAAATTTTGCAATATTGCAACAAATTTGTTATAGAAAATTTTGCAATATTGCAACAAATTTTTATAGAAAATTTTGCAATATTGCAACAAATTTTTATAGAAAATTTTGCAATATTGCAACAAATTTTTATAGAAAATTTTGCAATATTTGCAACAAATTTTTATAGAAAATTTTGCAATATTGCAACAAATTTTTATAGAAAATTTTGCAATATTGCAACAAATTTTTATAGAAAATTTTGCAATATTGCAACAAATTTTTATAGAAAATTTTGCAATATTGCAACAAATTTTTATAGAAAATTTTGCAATATTGCAACAAATTTTTATAGAAAATTTTGCAATATTGCAACAAATTTTTATAGAAAATTTTGGCAATATTGCAACAATTTTTATAGAAAATTTTGCAATATTGCAACAAATTTTATAGAAAATTTTGCAATATTGCAAACAAATTTTATAGAAAATTTTGCAATATTGCAACAAATTTTTATAGAAAATTTTGCAATATTGCAACAAATTTTTATAGAAAATTTTGCAATATTGCAACAAATTTTTATAGAAAATTTTGCAATATTGCAACAAATTTTTATAGAAAATTTTGCAATATTGCAACAAATTTTTATAGAAAATTTTGCAATATTGCAACAAATTTTTATAGAAAATTTTGCAATATTGCAACAAATTTTTATAGAAAATTTTGCAATATTGCAACAAATTTTTATAGAAAATTTTGCAATATTGCAACAAATTTTTATAGAAAATTTTGCAATATTGCAACAAATTTTTATAGAAAATTTTGCAATATTGCAACAAATTTTTATAGAAAATTTTGCAATATTGCAACAAATTTTTATAGAAAATTTTGCAATATTGCAACAAATTTTTATAGAAAATTTTGCAATATTGCAACAATTATAAAAATTTGCAATATTGGCAACAAATTTTTATAGAAAATTTTGCAATATTGCAACAAATTTTTATAGAAAATTTTGCAATATTGCAACAATATTTTTATAGAAAATTTTGCAATATTGCAAAATATTTTTTATAGAAAATTTTGCAATATTGCACAAATTTTTATAGAAAATTTTGCAATATTGCAACAAATTTTTATAGAAAATTTTGCAATATTGCAACAAATTTTTATAGAAATTTTGCAATATTGCAACAAATTTTTATAGAAAATTTTGCAATATTGCAACAAATTTTTATAGAAAATTTTGCAATATTGCAACAAATTTTTATAGAAATTTTGCAATATTGCAACAAATTTTTATAGAAAATTTTGCAATATTGCAACAAATTTTTATAGAAAATTTTGCAATATTGCAACAAATTTTTATAAAAATTTGCAATATTGCAACAAATTTTTATAGAAAATTTTGCAATATTGCAACAAATTTTTATAGAAAATTTTGCAATATTGCAACAAATTTTTATAGAAAATTTTGCAATATTGCAACAAATTTTTATAGAAAATTTTGCAATATTGCAACAAATTTTTATAGAAAATTTTGCAATATTGCAACAAATTTTTATAGGAAAATTTTTGCAATATTGCAACAAATTTTTATAGAAAATTTTTGCAATATTGCAACAAATTTTTATAGAAAATTTTGCAATATTGCAACAAATTTTTATAGAAAATTTTGCAATATTGCAACAAATTTTTATAGAAAATTTTGCAATATTGCAAACAAATTTTTATAGAAAATTTTGCAATATTGCAACAAATTTTTATAGAAATTTTGCAATATTGCAACAAATTTTTATAGAAAATTTTGCAATATTGCAACAAATTTTTATAGAAAATTTTGGCAATATTGCAACAAATTTTATAGAAAATTTTGCAATATTGCAACAAATTTTTATAGAAAATTTTGCAATATGGCAAAATATTTTTATAGAAAATTTTGCAATATTGCAAAATATTTTTATAGAAAATTTTGCAATATTGCAAAATATTTTATAGAAAATTTTGCAATATTGCAAAATATTTTTATAGAAATTTTGCAATATTGCAAAATATTTTTATAGAAAATTTTGCAATACATATTTTTTATTTAAAGAAACCCCAAATTTATTTTTTCATCAGAATACTGTAAGTTTTTATTATGAAAAAAGCACCTGAAATTTAAAAATATCAAAATTTTACTTACAAAAAATTTTCAAATATTTCCATTACAAAATTCACCTTAAATATCATAAAAACTAAACTAAGGTTTTCAAAACCTGGTTTGGCTAATTAGTTTATATACAAATTATTGTAATATTGAACAAATTCCGTACATTGTTCAGCTGCAATAGAAAAAACAAAAACGCAGTTATAAAAAATTTTCAAACACAAAAATTTACTTACTTTTCAAAAACTCCATCGAACCATGCTGTTTTAAATTACACATTTGAAAATACTTAAAAACACTATGAAAGGTCATGTCATTTTGTGATTTCTGAGCAGCTTCTAAAAATTTCCTAGCCGATATACGGCCCGCATCACTGGTATTAATGGCTAGGCGCAAAGCATCCACTACCTTACCCTGGCCCAGTAAAACTTCTATAATAATTTCGTGAGCTTTAATTTTTGTTAACATATCTAAGGCAACTTGTGAGACTGCAGGATCTTCATTAGAATGTGAGAGTAAATAACAGGCTATAGCCTTTGATTCCATTAGCAGTGAATACTCGGCCAAACGACGTAAAGTATCGAAACTTTTATTTAAAATCAATTCATTTATTAGCATTTTACTTAGATCCTCTTGGGCAGCTATATTATGTTTGCACAAAGATTGTAGATAAAGTAAAAGTATGGTTTGGCACTGTGGTTTCTCTACAATATATTGGAATACTTGGGTATGCATATCGATTTGTTCTATTAAAACTTTAGGAGGAGTGGGAGATTTGGGGGTGGTTTTAACATTTGAAGGTTGAGCTGTTTGATTTTGCAATTCCAAATGGACCCAGGATCTATAAAAGATTTAACAGTAATGTCATTTTTGTTGATAGCAGAAAGTGTTAAACTTACGCGTATACTTTGTTGATTTTATTTAATATAGTTTCCAATACAGGTAAAAAGGCTCCATTGTATTGATCATCTACTAGTTGTCTGAGTACTTTTAGCAAAGTCTGTTTACCATTGTGACGTTGCAATAGAAATTCGGTTAATCTTATGCGATCTGATATTAAGGTGCACAGAGATTCAATGTCCAAGTGTAGATACCACATGCAACCTAATTTGGCATCTATAACAATGTTGGGTTGAAATAGAACCCAGTTTGTAGAATCTGGAAAAAAAGAACAGTTTTATAGAAATATTGCAAATGTTGCACATAGTACTCACATAATTCACATTGTAAAATTTGACCATCCGGTTGCAAACTGGGCAACTTTAAGGCAAAAGGTCTTATCGATCGGCCAGCAGTAATGGGAGAATGATATGTTATATCATTAACTATCTCACCGCTAAGGGAAATATCAAACAATAAAGAAGTAGCCGAGGCCTGATGATGAACCACAATTAAATTATCCACCGTATTAATGGCAAAGCGTCCCACCAAACCCAAACGTAAAACATGACATTTACGAGGTGCCAAACCGGGGCCATTCAATAAATAAACTTCAACCTCAATCATACCCGAGGCACTAGCTTGTAAGATCAAAACAGCCATAACACCATAGATCTGACCCAAAGTAACTTTACTCTCCTGGATTTCGCGGTTGGAACTGCCCACTTAAAGAAATTTTTTTATAAAGTGATCTGGTAAACATATTCTATACTTACAATCCAGTTTGGGCAATTTGGTTATAGATTTTTGTTTGATCAATATCGGTATTAAAGAACTATTACTATCGGCTGTACACAAAACAGCTATATTGGCCTCGGAACACCAGGCAAACCATTTAATACTCATACTCATGGCTTTTACGGACTTCACTTGACTCTTCTCTGCCACTATGGTGAATATTTCCACACCCGAATTCGATATTAAGGCACATTCTCTATTATGTACCCAAACAAAACCATAAATTAAGGCTTTGACTTGATGTACGATAATTTCCTGCAGCATGGGTTGATCACCCTGAAAGCATATAAATTCTACCGAATTTTCACGTCTTTGTACGGCTAAAATTTGATTATCAGGAGAAAATTTGATGGAACGTATAGCACCACGATCGGTCATACAAAATGAAATTATCTTATCCTCAGAAGGACCTTTAACGACCACACCGGTGGCGCCACCCGAACGTACGGCAAAGATCTGGAATAGGAAAATATCATTTGCGTTTAAGGTTTAACAAAAATCAATGTTAGACCTTGAATTTGAAAAAAAGAGGCGTCTCATATTACCTGCTTATTGGAATCATCAAAAAAGACATTAGTTAATTGACTAACTGCATCGAATCTTATAGGATTCTTCGATAACTCTATATAATGTACAGAATGCTCCATTTTGAAGTAATATTTTTATAAAAAAATTTAATATTTTCACTATTTATTATAAAAAATATACATGTAAACAAAATAAAAGAAATATTTTTTTCTCACAGCTGTCAGATAAATTTTATCTAACAACATCTGCTACACAGTTGTATTAAAAAGTACTCACAGAAAAAATGTAAACAAACACAAATAGCTGTTGAAACAAAAACAAAAAACAACACAGAGTTGTGGCAAAAGTTAGCAACAGAAGAGAAATGTAAATAAACAAAAACAGCTGCGAAAAAAATGTAAACAAAAAAAAATTTGGGAATTTTTAGAAAATATTAAAAAAATTATATTATAGCCGGAAAAATGTTGAATAAAGATTTAAAAATAAGTTTATGTCGCACCTGTTTACAGTATTTTAACGAAGGAAAGACTTTCGATATTTTCCAAACCTTGGATTTAGCTCAAAAGTTGATGCAATGTTCCGGTCTAACAATGGTGGCCTCCGATGAATATCCTCATTATGTGTGCGAACGGTGTTATGAACAAATTTTATTATTTTATGAATTTCAACAAATGTGCCGCAATTCCTTGGATAAATTTAATGATTTATTAAAAACTAAGCAGGAGCTGGATGAGAAGCAAGTCAATTGGAATTGGAGCAAGTTGTGGTTGCAGCAAAAGATCCCTTAAATGTTGATCGGAAGCCGTTAAATCTTATAGAGACGAATTTAAAGAGATTTCACAAGAAATTGAAATTCAAGAAGAAGAATATTTGGAAAAGAAAAAAAGAGGTAGGCCTCCTAAAAAGAAAATTGTTATTGAGTATACGCAAGGAAATGTGGAGAGCAAAAGTCAAAGCAGCAGTTTAATACAGCAAGAAAATATTAGTATTACTTTAAAAATGAAACTGTTAAGGAATATAAAGAAGAGTTTTTATTTAATGAAGAATATAAGGTTAATTTGGACACTACAGGAGCGAAAGCAAATGTTGTAACAGAAGAACAAGTAACAGCAAATAAAGAACATACTAATGTTCAGGAAAAATTAGAGGAAAAGGTAGGAACAGGTAAAATATTATTAAAAACATGTTTAAACTCATTTTTTTGATACTTTTCTATTTCAGATTCTTTCCGATACCGAAAGCTGTTCTTCAACACAAGAAAGCTTTTCTCCAGAAAAGCCTAAACATCAATGTGATCGCTGTAATGAAAGCTTTAATGCGCTACACCGTCTTGAAGCCCACAAACGAGAACATGATGGCTTACCTCCTTACTCCTGCTACTACGAAGGCTGCAAACGTTCCTTTAATCGCTGGCATAACTATAACAGGCATCAAAAGGAACATAAGCTTGCAGTAGACCAAACCTACAAATGTGATGTGGATAATTGTGAAAGAGTGTATAAGAATAAATCTGCCCTAAATGTCCACAAACGTAAATATCACAATTTGGGTCCCGAACTTAAGACCCATATGTGTGAAGTTTGCGGTAAAGTATTCAAATCATCGGCCGTTTTAAATGATCACCACTATACCCATATTGATAGGACACAACTGCCTTATGCCTGTGAAGAGCCGAACTGTAGTAAACGTTTTCCAATAAAGAAAAACTAAAGGTGCATAAAATGCGTCATGCCGGTATTAAGAACTTTAGCTGTCCCTATTGTGGTATGCTTAAGACAACACGCAATGAACTGAAAATACACATTAACTATCACACCCTGGAAAGAACTTGGCCTTGTAGGTTTTGCCCCAAAGTGTGTAATAGTGCGGGCAATTTGAAAATGCACGTGAGGAATATGCACGAAAGAGCTAAAGATTTTGCTTGTCGTTTTTGTGACAGGACTTTTGCCAAAGCCGATACTAAGAAATACCATGAAATGACTCATACGGGAGAAAAGCCACATCAGTGCAAGGAATGCGGTAAAAGATTTGTACAGCCGGCGGCCTTAAGGACCCATCGCAAGATACATTTGAGACAGACGGCGAATTTGGAGGTAAAGAGAAGTGTGGCCAGAAGATTGAAGGGCGGGAGGGGCAAAATCCATCACAGGAAGTGGTGGAGGAGACTTTTATAACTGATGCTATGGTGGCAGAGATTTTAAGTGACCACCAGTGACCAATATTCTTATTTAAAGCTAATAAATAGTTTTTTTGAAGAATTTCTTGAAAATGTTTCTTTTTGTAACAAAAGGATATAAATTAGTTTAATATCTTTTTTTTATTATTTAATAATTTATTATCTTATATATATTTATATTCAAATTATTGTAAATTTTCTCAATTAATTACGACACACACAAATAGCTCTACCATTACAATAACCGCCACGATTTCCTCTCAACAAGCAGTGGGCAGCACAAGCTGAATGTTTAACACCAGTACCACTCAATAAATCGCAAGTAGCTCTCTTATAGCGGCCATGTAATTCCGGTTCAATTGTTTTCAAAGCCTCCAAACCATCGACAAAGTGGGCCTCATCATCAGCAGGCAAGGCCAAGGATTGGCTAACAAGCTCAAAGCCAGGCAGAAAGTAACAGCGAATACCATAAAGAATTTCATGTTTAAATAATGTTTTCAAGATTTGTGAAAGATTTTAAATTAAGCTTTTTAGTTGAACCGTTTATTAGGTTTGTTTTGAAGTAACTGATGCTTTGTTTTCGATTTCTTACGCTATTTATTTCGTTTCAATTTCTTATGTTTATTTTAACCTAAGTTATATTTAAATGGTAGTTTTTTGCTTGATTCAGTGAAAAAGTTGGGGACTTTTTACTATTTGTTTAATCATCTGTATATTAATAGTATGTACACATGCATAAGTGTGTATGATTATGTTTAATTAAAAGCATTGTCTTTAAACTAAATTTAGTGATAAGCAATTGTCAAGCTGTAGGTACTTTTTCTTTTGGAAATTTTCAATTATAAATATTTATTTAAGCTGTTTATTATTAGATTTTATTGTTACCTTTTAAGTTAGAATTATGTGAGGGTGATTTTTGAAACTTAAGCAATCCATTTGGAATTTCCCAAACCCCTAGTCATTTGTTGAATATCAACATTGCAAACTTCTCAAGAAATCTTTTATTTATGAAACTTTTCAAAAAAATGTTCTAAATATAAACTCATTCACTTCCAGTTCATGTCTGTTTAGTTCTACTTCAATTCTTTTCAGTTCTAGTACATCTCTAGTTTAGTTCGAGTTCAGTTCTGGTTCAGTTCTAGTTCTAGTTCAGTTCTAGTTCAGTTCTAGTTCAGTTCTAGTTCAGTTCTAGTTCAATTCTAGTTCAGTTCTAGTTCAGTTCTAGTTCAGTTCTAGTTCAGTTCTAGTTCAGTTCTAGTTCAGTTCTAGTTCAGTTCTAGTTCAGTTCTGTTCAGTTCTAGTTCAGTTCTAGTTCAGTTCTAGTTCAGTTCTAGTTCAGTTCTAGTTCAGTTCTAGTTCAGTTCTAGTTCAGTTCTAGTTCAGTTCTAGTTCAGTTCTAGTTCAGTTCTAGTTCAGTTCTAGTTCAGTTTTAGTTCAGTTCTAGTTCAGTTCTAGTTCAGTTCTAGTTCAGTTCTAGTTCAGT